CATATATACAAATTATACAAATAATAAGTAATTAGTAATACAACATATAATATAAAATAATATGTAATAATAATAATATAACATATTATTTAAAATGATACATAATAGTATCGATAACACAACGGATGAATTCTAGAAATTTTTATTACACTAAATAAATTTATGAATATTTAAATCATTTAAATAAATATAAAACTTGGACTTTTAAATCATAGAAAATTAAGAAAAATACAAATACTCTTTTAAATATAATAATTAAATATTTAAAATACCAAAAAAATTATTTTAACTAGTATAAAAAATTTACGGTCATTATAATAAAACCCTTGTTACAAACAAATAACCTCCTAGAAACACACGCAGAGGACATTTATCACCCGCTGCTTGCGTGGGATCTTTGCCTGTGTCAGGGGTACGTTAGCTCGTGGACGACCGAATCACAAATCCAAGTAAAATCATGAAGAAGACTTAAGGTCCATGTTTTGTTTTAGAAACAAGGACAGAAGTGAATATCTCAACAAGGTAAGATAAAACACTCTTCCCAAGATCAAGTCAAAGCTTAGATCTCGAGGAAATGCTAAAGGCTCTTGGAAGTGCTTGAAAACAATGAATACTCTCTCTCTTGGTCTAAATTCACCAAATTTCTCAAGTCTCTGCCTTGGTCTTCTTTGTTTTTTATGCATATGGGTGATAGGAAAATATTTATAGTCCCTAAAAGTAGTCACTGATGGTAGAAAATAGAAACAAAACTAACTTGTTAGCACCCCATTTCCGAGACACATTCTGTTTCTCAGAAGAAGGAAGTTTGTCAGGCCATTTTGTAACCGATTTTCTCACATTTTATGCCATATTATCTCTGCATTTATGGGTGGACTTTTCATTTGTAACGGCTCTCCCACGTTCACACATAATCCCAAGGAGTTATGAAGCCACGTGGACCGCACAAAACCCAAGAAAACCATCAACAGAAGTGTGAAACTCCACCATAGTTTCTGAGACACATTCCGTGTCTCGAAAACTACGAGTTGTCTTATAGCTTTTGAGACACATTATGTGTCATGAAAACTATGAGTTACCTCATAATTTCTATGACAACTTCCTTGTCTCAGAATTTGTGTGACGCCTGATTGTTGTTTTGCATTTTGGTGCATTCCTTAGTTGGTCTTTGATATCGAATGATCCTCTTTGACTCAGATGATAACGTTTATTGCCTTCTTTCTATCTTGAGATGTGTGTGGTAACTTATAGGTAATTTTTGATGCCTACAGATACCCCCTCCAAAGTATTTCAGCCTCATTCTTTCATAAAGGAGGCTAAAATACTTTGGATATGATACGCCCAGCCTCGAATTCGTTGACTTCTTCATTTTTTAATTTATTCAGTATTTTGTTGAATAGTTAAAATTCTTCCGATGCTGTGTTTATAGTCTGACCGTTATCAAAATCTTGAATCGAAGCTGGTGTGTTAATTTTGGAGTTAGCTCGTGTCGTTGAATCGACGTTGAACTGATCACCTTCGTCGGGAGATTATATTTGATTCATGATTGAACTCCTCAGAATTATCCTTTAACTTAGAATCTTTCTTGAGCCTTATTTCGACGAAATTATCGACGTGTTGACCGGCATCGACTTTCACTATAACGCGTTGATCGGCGTTGGTCTTCGTTATGGTGTGAACACAGTTTATACTCATGTACTCATTAGAGTTTTTGGGAGTCAGTTTAACCTCGTGTATCCGTTGGAGATTCAAGGAGATGCAGTTTATGCTCGTATACTCATCGGAGTGTCAAAATATATTGAATATGGGTCGAGGATGCCACGCGAACACACCTGTAGATTCGTCGATATGGGTCTTTGTGCGAGACAGTGGACACTGTCTCACGTGTTTGAGATAATTGTACTATCTCGGACGTGCGAAACAGTGTCGACTGTCTCGCACGAAGTCGAGCAGTCGGGTCTGGGCTTATTTAAACCTAAGACTTAGGCTTTTTTCTATCATTTTCAACCGCCTCTTTGCATTCAAAACTTCTCTAAATCCCTACCCAAGAGTTCTTAAACCCGTTCCACCTTCCTTTTCCTTGGATTTTGTCGGATCTTGCTCGAGGGTTTTAGGGTTTCCCACTTCTCTTTCAAGGTTTGATCTTCTAACTGTAATTTCTTTTCATCAAAGCTTATTTTTTCTTGATCGTTGATGAAAACTGATCCCTTGGATCACCACCTTGGGTATTTTCATGATTTTGTTTGATCTTAACCTCAAAACCCTAACTTTTTCTTGATTTTTAGGTCAAAATCATCTCTTTTCACCATGTCTCCTATGAGATCGCACGTTCCCCGAGGTAGATCTACCTCTCAGCTAGCCGAGAGAGAGGATCCTAATGTTACTTCATATGGAGGTGAGCTTTTACCACTTTTGTCGATTCAAAAGTTGATATTTTGAGTAGTATCCTTATTTACTCTCCTTCGTGAGGCATTCGGAAAGAGGCGATATCCTCCTTTGTGGGGATCGATGCTGAAAAGATGTTATTTTGCTAAGTCAAAATACATCTCAAGGCAAAAGGGGTGATTTTACATTGTTTTATATTTTATAAGGTGGGTATATTGTCGTGTTATTTACACGACAATGTACGTTACCTTTCACGTGTGAAATAACTGAAATTGTCTCGCCAAATCACAAGGTAGTGACTCTATCTCGTGGATTCACGAGTGAGTTTGACTCCTTGTTTTGCTTTAGGCTGACACTTGCTTCGACTTCACTAGCAAGTCGTCCACATAAGCTTCTAGATTACGGCCGATCTGGTGCTTGATGACCTTGTTGACAAGTCTCTGATATGTGGCCCCGACATTCTTTGAACTGAATAGTATCATCATGTAACAATATGTCTCCAAGTTGGTGATGAAGGAGGTTTTCTCCTGATCATACTCAGTCATGAAGATCTGGTTGTAGCCGTAGACGGCGTCCATGAAGCTAAGTAGCTCGTGCCCTGTGCTCTCATCTACTAGCTGATCGATTTGAGACAGTAGTTGTCCTTGGGGCAATCTTTGTTGATGTTGGTGAAGTCCACGCACATCCTCCATTTGTTCAGCGGCTTCTTCACTAACACAACATTAGCCATCCATACCAGGTATTGGACTTCCCGGATAAAACTAGCTCTGAGGAGTTGTTCGACTTTGTTGACCACCATCTTCTGTCATTCTGGGCCGAGATGTTTCTTCTTCTATCATACAAGCTTAGTGTGCCTATCGACAGGTAGCTCATGGCTGATTACCTCGAGGGGGACCCCCGGCATATCCTCGAGACCCTAGGTGAACACATCAGTGTTTGCTTGTAGGAATTCTATCAAGGATCCTCGTAAGAGCTTCACTAGGTCGGGCCTAATCGTGATCGTCTTCAGTCTTTCTCGCTCGATTGGTATCTCCTAGAGCTCTTCCACCGGTGTCGTCCTCTGCCACTCCATTGCTTTCTCCAACTGGAGGTATACTTTCCCAATGGACAAAGTGTTTTATACACCCTTACCCTTGGTTGAGAGCAGGTAGCAGGACCTGACCTCTCGATGGTTGCTCCTAGCGACTCCGAATCCATTAGGAGTCAGGAACTTCATCATCTAGTGGTAAGTTAATGGGACGGCCCACAAGAGATGGAGGGCGGTTTGGCCTAGGATGACATTATAGGCTAACTTGAGATTCATCATCAGGAATTAAACTTGGATGGTGATTTGCCTAGGGTACTCTCTAACTATTAGGGGGAGAGTAATCATCCCTTCTAGTAGGAGGGAGTGGCTGGTGAATCCAATGAGGGAGCCTCTACAAGGAAGTAGGTGAGATTTGTTGATGCCCATTTGGTTGAAGGTGTCGACATACAAGATGTCCACCGAGCTCCCCGTATCAACCATGATCCGTTTCACTTAGAAGCCATCAATCCCTGTTATGATGATAGGAATGTTATGAGGCGTCTCGACGCCTTGTAGTTCGGTGTCCCCAAAAGAGATGGGCTCCTCCACCTTTGTCCTCTTGTCAGACTGGTCGACCCATAATGCCTTCATAGCATACCTCTTCCGGGTTTTGTTGGATGACTCTCCAGCGGTGCATACCTCTTCCGGGTTTTGTTGGATGATCCTCCAGCGGTGGGACCGCCACTAATCATATTAATGACCCCTTATGGCTTGGCTCTGGGGGTCGGCTCTTGGAGTAGAGCTGCTTCCCTCTGGTTAGGGCTTCTTCCCTCTGGCCTCTCTGAGAGACGAGCTTCTTCACATATTAATGATCTCCTATCCACCATTGTTAGGGCTGCTTCCCTCTGGTTTCTCTGAGAGACAAGCTTCTTCAGATACCCTCTCTCGATCAAGTCTTCGATGTCCGTCTTGAGGATATGACAGTCTTTGGTAAGGTGGCTGTGATCTTTATGGTAATGACAAAACTACCTCATGTCTCGGTTTCGTAGATTCAACCTCATCTGAGGAGCAGGCTCCTTGAGGTGTCCCTCCTTTTGGACCATGGCGAGAGGTTTTGTGAGGGAGGTGTTGAAGATAGTGAGAGCAGACTTCAGCATCGGGTCCCTCTGTTGGT